AGCTCAGTTTCAGGGTCTTGGCAATCTTCTTATAGGCTATCTTTATGTAGAGCAACAATTCTTTTTTTCAGATCCTCATAGAGTTATTTGCCATGGGGTGCCATGTTGAACTTCCAGTGACCAGTATGAGAGTAATAACACCAAATTTAACACACCTGCTCCCCATTCACACCTGAGACCTTGTAACACTAACGAGTCACATGACATTGGGGAGGGAAAATGGCTAATTGGGCCCAGTTTGGACATTTCCACTTAGGGGAGTACTCACTTTTGTTGCCAACGGTTGAGACATTGATGGCTATGTACTGAGATATTTTGAAGGGACAGCAAATTTAAACTGTTATACAGGCTGTACACTTACTACTTTACATTGTAGCAGAGTGTCATTTCTTCAGTGTTGATACATGAAAAGATATAGTAAAATATTTACAAAAATATGAGGGGTGTACTTTTGTGAGATACTGTGTGTGTGTGTGTATAGATAAATAAATATCTACAAAAACAAGTCTTGTAATGACCTGACGAAAGTTCCCTCGAGGGACTGAAACGTTGACTTGCTGGAATTCGTCACATAAAGAGCCTATCTGAATGAAAACCTTATAGTGCCTGTATTTTTGTAGATATTTATGAATTTGTGACTGTGCACCAGATAGTTATTTATTTTTTGTAGAGAAAAAGACATAGAAAAACTGTGTATAGAAGGCGCTTATAGAATATTGAAAATTGTGTAGATGCTACAACACTCTTGTGGGGGTCCCTCACACCCACCTCAAATAGAACTAGAAGAAAGGTGGAAAAGCCAAAGGCAGTTCACCTATATGAGTGGAGCATACAGTGATAGTGATGGACACCTACCCTGTAACAAGGGTCGTCTGATCCTAATATTGTAGCAGTATCACTTTCAATTCAGCATATATACAATAAAAAGAGAAACATATACAGAGAAATAATAGTGTAAATATGTATGACAATTGATCGTTATGCAGTGATCAGAAGAAATGCTAACTCACATATTGTAGAGCCTAAGTTAGGATAGGCTCAGATCACTTGCGCTTTAGTACCGTCTGGTGGTACTATTCCCCTTTTCTTGGAAACGTAGGTGGAATCCCTCAGAGGTAAGAGATACAGGAAAAACGTAATAGGAGGTAATATAGTGTAGTATAATAAAGGTGAGTATACTATATCTTTAAATAGGTGCTCACCTTATTTTGAGCCTGGTACTTGGCTCTGAGTTTATCAGCATGAGTGTCAAATATTCTTGGAGCAGGTTTGGTGAAGATCAGAGAGAACTTTGGTTAAAAAATAAAAATTTATTTTGCCAACAGGCAGTAAAATACAAATAGATAAAACAAGGTAAAAAAAATGTCCCATAAATACCGCGGAAGTGAAAGATATTCATGGGACATTTTTTTTTTACCTTGTTTTATGTGATCTGAGCGCCATTCAATAATAATGTGCACTCAGATCTAAGCTATCTGGGGATATGTTGCATGTATATGTTGCATGTAGTAATTGTAACATTGTGTAATTTTATGTCTTTTTGTAACCATGTGGTTAATGGAGTCTTGCCTCTGTCCTGGGAGATAATTTGATTACTTCCCAATTATCTACAGGATAGAGAGGAGGGATTGTGATGTCACTGTGGGAGTGTTTTGTTTGTATTGTCTGTGATTGGTTATACTGGGTCCCACCCAGTATACTGGGTCCCCTTGCATGGGGACTTGCATAAAAGCCAGTGTGTGGTCATTAAAACCAGATCATCTTGTACCTTTCTTGAAGCCTTGGCTCATGTTTGGGGGAAGGGATACCTACACTCTGGGTATTGCTATATTCACTTACTCCCCAGAGTAAGCTCTTGCAATAGCTTGATTTGTTCCTGCTACGCTCTCTGGATTTAGGAGAGGTTCACCCACTGGGAGCTGGATCCTGGTCGTGGATCCAGGGTGGGTGGAGACGGCGAGACCCCGGCGCAGCTGTTTCACTGGAAGTGGGGTCTGCAGTGCTGATGGTGTCGGTTGGAGTGCTTGGAGTCCTCAGCGAGCACTGGGCGCATCGATTGGCGGAGGTACTCAGTCGGAGTGCCAGCGTTCCGTCACAATATTTATATTTGTATATATATATATATATGTATATTGTTATTAGCTGTTGGTGTCGTGTGTGCCATTTAACCATGCTGCTGTGTTCCGAATAGAAGTGGACTATCAGACCTAGCAGGAGTGCTATCTACTATTGCACTTTACTTTTCAAAATTGGCTATATTGCACTATTGTGTGTTTGCTTACATTTTTCCTAGGAAAACACCGGTCCAGGAACTGTATTCACTTTTAAAAGAAAGATACTACACCTTGTATTGTATGTATATTTATGTTTATTGTGAGGTTTAAGGGAATACTAGCAAAGTATCGATTATCATTGGTATTACTCACTGGGATATTTTAACAAATATTATCTCATTATTGTATCCTGGCCAGGGACAGGTCTTTCCACCTTCTTGACGTTGAGACATGTTTTAATAATAAAGTAATTAGTGCATGTTAATTATAACATGCTGGCCAGGGCCACCATCAGAAATTTTGGGGCCCCTAACACAGCTTAAGGTCTGGGCCCCTGGGTGCCCACCTCCAAGCCCCGCCTCCAAATCCCATCCACAGGAATACACACACACAGACACAAAAGGACACAGACACACACACAGAAGGATACACATATACTAACAGACATAAATAATGAAACAGACATACAGGCATACTGACACACACATACTGAAACAGACACACACACACACAGACACGAAAGGACACAGACACACACACAGAAAGATACACACATAGTAACAGACACAAATACTGAAATAGACATACAGGCATACTGACACACACATACTGAAACAGACACACACACATGCATAAGGAGATACAGATACACACACACATACTGACATACAGACTCACACACTGACGTACGTACATACATACTCACATACTGACGTACGTACATACATACTCACATACTGACACACACACACACATACAGACATAATTTATTCTGTTTGTAGTATCTGAGCGCTGTTCGCCTATATTGGGCGCTCAGATTCAAGCTATCTGGGGATAGGTTAAATGTGGGTGTTCTGTTTAGTATAATAGGAATTACCGTATATACTCGAGTATAAGCCGACCCGAATATAAGCCGAGGCCCCTAATTTTACCCCAAAAAACTGGGAAAACTTATTGACTCGAGTATAAGACTAGGGTGGGAAATGCAGCTACTGGTAAATTTCTAAATAAAATTAGATCCTAAAAAAATTATATTAATTGAATATTTATTTACAGTGTGTGTATATAATGAATGCAGTGTGTGTTTGAGTGCAGTGTGTGTGTATGAGTGCAGTGTGTGTGTATGAGTGCAGTGTGTGTATGAATGCAGTGTGTGTGTGTGTGAGTGCAGTGTGTGTGTATGAGTGCAGTGTGTGTGTATGAATGCAGTGTGTGTATGAATGCAGTGTGTGTGTGTGAGTGCAGTGTGTTTGTGTGTGTGTTTGTGTGTGTTGCAGAGCCTTGGTGGGGGGTGGGCATTTTTATTATTATTTTTTTTAATTATTTTAAAAAAAATTTTGTTTTATTAATATTTTGTTATTATTATTTTTTATTTTATTATTATTTTTAATATTTTATTATTATATTTATTTATTTTTGTCCCCCCTCCCTGCTTGATACATGGCAGGGAGGGGGGCTCTCCTTCCCTGGTGGTCCAGTGGCATTGGCAGTTCAGTGGGGGGAGGAGGGGGGCTGGCAGAGCTGTAACTTACCTCTCCTGCAGCTCCTGCCAGCTCCCTCCTCCTCTGCGCCGGTCCGGTCAGCACCTCGGTCAGCTCCCAGTGTAAGTCTCGCGAGAGCCGCGGGGTCATAGTGCGGCTCTCGCGAGACTTACAGTGTGAGCTGAGAGAAGAGCTGCACGGACCGGCGCGGAGGAGGAGAGAGCTGACAGGAGCTGCAGGAGAGGTAAGTAACAGCTCTGCCAGCCCCCAGTCTGTATTATGGCAATATAAATTGCCATAATACAGACTGACTCGAGTATAAGCCGAGTTGGGGTTTTTCAGCACAAAAAATGTGCCGAAAAACTCGGCTTATACTCGAGTATATACGGTATGTATTTTTATGTATTTTTACTGTTAGTGTAAAATGGAGATTTTTTTTTTTGTACCTGGAGATAATTGAGTTTACTACGGTTCCTTAAGCCAATTATCTCCAGGATAGAGGGGAGGGATTTTACTGTGTATGTGGGAGTGTTATTTTGTTAATTAGTGTTCCCATTTGTTATGGACAAATGCAAATATTACAAGATTTAGAATGAAATGTTGTATTTCTTAAACTGTGTACTTTGTCTTTAAGAGATATTGCAAACTGACAAGGTGTTAGAAAAGGAACATATTGTTTTTCATAACTGTTTCTTTAAGCAATAACCTCAGTGCATAAAATGGAGACACCTAAGGTATAAATAGTTGTACTTTTAAATGTTAAGACACAGAGGGGAGACTTGGAGACAGACGCTGCTCCATCTTAAAATGACAGAGAGGCTGACATGATGATATGTTCAGAAGGGTATGTTAACCTATTAATGATATTTGCAAGCATTTAATTTAATCTTATAAACTGTGCTATAATGGATTTTATATAATAAATATCCAAAAAGACAAAACTATTGCTTCCAAGACAATCCTAATTTTATATTGTATTCTCAATTATTTATATATGTTAAATAGAGGATCTCTTACACTATATAAAATTATGGCTAAGATATCTGTATGGTTAGCCCTACTAAGTTCTATGCTTTAAGACATTATAGTGGTAAATAAGGGAACAAGCCGCGGTTACACATTGGTTTGTTTTTGTCCCAGTTTACCACCAGGTCCAGGGGTTGTGCCTCTGGCCTGAAAACTTGTATAAAAGAAAGTCTTTTGGTGCTCATTAAACAGATCATCTTGTACCTTCATGAAGTTTCAGCTCATGTTTGGGGGATTGGAGAACTGCCTACACTCTGGGGATTGCTATAATCACTATACTCCCCAGAGTAAGCTCTTGTAAGAGCTTGTTCTTGTTCCTGTTCCTGCTCTCTGAAATTTGGAGAGGTCGACCTACTGGAAGCTGGACCCTGGTCTTGGGTCCAGAGTGGGTGGAGACGGCGAGACCCCAACCAAGCTGCGGCAGTTAGTGGGGTGATGGTGTCAGGTGGAGTGCTTGGAGCCCTCGGAAAGCACTAGGAGCATCCGTCAACGGAAGGTACCCGGTCGGGGTGCCAAGCGGTTCCATTACAGGTTCTATCTATGCGTTGGCACGAGGGGATTTCGTGGCCACCGAACGTTGTGGTAAGGTGTCGGCCTCTCTGTGACTTTTAAAGCACAAGATAGAATGGGTGACAGGTGAGGACCTCTCTATGTCACCGTGTGAGGCAACTAACCATGAGTTGGGCCGATGGACGTAGTACCTCCGAGTATGAGGATGGGTGTTGTCTCGCCGGACAGCTAACCTAAGAAATAGAGGCCTGTGAAATTATTAACTATTGGACTCCTGGAGCCCTGTCAGCCAGTAAAGAAGCTTACTAAGGGGAGACGGGTATGGTGCGTATAAGGACACGTAAATTGACGTACCTGAGAAAAGCAAGTCCGTCATGCGGTTTAAACATGAGAAATTGATAGAAGCAGACCTATAGGGGTTAACGAGATAGTTGTATGAAATATGGTATGTGACGTAAAATTATAAATATCCGGTATACTTATAGGATAAGTAGCGCAGTTAGTTGCAACCATTACATAGTTACATAGTTACATAGCTGGAAAGAGACTTACGTCCATCAAGTTTAGCCTTCCTCACACTTTTCTTTTTGCTGTTGATCCAAAAGAAGGCAAAAAACCCAGTCTGAAGCGCTTCCAATTTTGCAACAAACTAGGAAAAAATTCCTTCTTGTCCCCAAAATAGCAGTCAGATGTCTCATTGGATCAAGCAGCTATTACCCCACTAATTAGAAATTATATCCCTGTATGTTATGTTTTTGCAAGTATTTATCCAATTGCAGTTTAAACATCTGTATAGACTCTGACAAACCCACCTCTTCAGGCAAATAATTCCATATCCTTATTGCTGTTACTGTAAAAAAAACCTTTGCTTTGCCTTAGATGAAATCTCCTTTCTTCAAGCCTAAATGCGTGGCCTCGTGTCCTATGTATAGCCCTGTTTATGAATAGATTTCCATATAATGGTTTGTACTGGCCCAGAATATATTTGTATAATGTTATCATATCCCCTCTCAGGTGCCGTTTTTTCCAAACTAAAGAGATTTACATTTTTTAACCTTTCTTCATAACTAAAATGCGCCATTCCTTTTATCAATTTTGTAGCTCGTCTCTGCACTTTTTCTAGTGCCACGATATCTTTCTTTAGAACAGGTGCACAAAATTGCACAGCATATTCAAGGTGTGGTCTTACCAGCGATTTATAAAGAGGCAAAATTATATTTTCATCTCGAGAATTTATGCCCCTATTTATACATGACAAAACTTTACTGCCCTTAGCAACGGCAGATTGACATTGCATATTGCTGCCTAATTTGTTGTCTATAACAATTCCCAAATCCTTCTCGTGTGTGGTTATCCCTAGTTCACTACCATTTAGGGTGTAAATTGCTTGTGCATTCTTAACCCCGAAGTGCATAACTTTGCATTTCTCTACGTTAAATTTCATCTGCCATTTTAGTGCCAAGTTCCCCAATCTATCCAAATTCCTCTGCTCACATTTTATTACTTTACAAAGCTTTTTGTCATCTGCAAACACTGATACATGGCTTTCAATGCCCATTTCAAGATCATTTATAAATATGTTAAATAGAAGCGGTCCCAACACAGAACCCTGAGGGACACCACTTACCACTTTTGTCCAGCTTGACAATTTACCATTAATGACAACTCGTTGTACTCTATCCTTAAGCCAATGTTCTACCCAAGAACGAGAACATTCATCTAGACCAATTTCTCTTAGTTTGAAGACTAACCTATTGTGAGGAACCGTATCAAATGCCTTGGCAAAATCCAAGTAGATCACATCCACTGCAACACCCTGATCTATACTTCTACTTACTTCTTCGTAGAATGCAATTAGGTTAGTTTGACATGACCTATGTTTCATAAAACCATGCTGATTATTGCTAATAACACAGTTCTTCCCAATGAATTCCTGAATATTATCCCTTAATAGCCGTTCAAATAATTTCCCAGACACAGAAGTTAAGCTCACAGGTCTATAATTTCCAGGCAAGGATTTTGAACCCTTTTTAAATATAGGAACAACATCTGCCTTCCTCCAATCCTTCGGTACAATACCTGAAACAAAAGAATCTTGAAAAAATTAAATACAGAGGTTCACTTATTTCCCCATTTAGCTCCTTAAGTACTCGTGGGTGGATACCGTCAGGCCCCGGAGCTTTATTTACATTAATTTTCTTTAATAGCTGTAGCACCTTGTCTTGAGTTATCCAATCACAGGTTATCTGCAAGTTTGTTGCAGCAATAATTGGCTTATCTCTTGTCATAGGATCCTCATTGATATATACTGAATAAAAATAGTTATTTAAAATTTCTGCCTTTTCCTGGTCTTCATTGACTAACAGAACCATCTCTGTTTTCAGTGTACCCACACTTTCATTTTTTTTTTTTTTTTAGAATTGATGTACTTGAAAAAATGTTTGGGGATTGGTTTTGCATTCTTTGGCTATCAATTTCTCATTTTCTAGTTTAGCCACTTTAATTGCCTTTTTGCAAGCGTTATTGGCTTCCTTATATCTTAAATAGGATGCCTCTGATTTGTCCGATTTAAATGCTTTAAATGCCCTTTTCTTATTTTTAATCTCTTGTTTTACTTCTCTACTAAGCCACATTGGTTTTAATTTGTTTCTTTTATATTTATTACCAAATGGTACATACTGTGAAATGTACCTTTCTAATATTTGTTTGAATAGTTTCCATTCTTCCTCAGTGTTTTTATCACTAAGGAGTTTATGCCAGTCGATATGATGTAGAGCTGCCCTAATCTTAAAATTGGCTTTTTTAAAATTATACGTTTTAATATACCCCACGTGCTTTTTCTTTTTTGAGTTTATTTCAAAAGTTACCATATTGTGATCACTATTTCCCAAATGCTCCCCTACTTGAATGTTGGTTAAAAGATCAACATTGTTTGTTATAACGAGATCCAGACAAGCATCCTTTCTAGTTGGTGCTTGTACCAGTTGTGACATAGAGGCGTCATTTAACACATTCAAAAACCGGATTCCCCTTGCTGAAGTACTAGTCCCTCTATCCCAATTTATGTCGGGGTAATTAAAATCTCCAATAATTAACGTGTTACCCTGATTTGCAGCTTTCCCAATTTGCTCTAACAGCAGTTCTTCCTCATTAATAATTACATTTGGTGGTTTATAACATATCCCAACCAATAATTTATTTCACTTTGTTTGCCCCAAGCAGATAGCTACCCATAAAGCCTCCACATTTCCCTCGTCACACTCCACATGCCTAAGATTTTACTTTAACTCATGGCTGACATACAAACATACCGCACCACCCTTCTTGTTTTTCCTATCCTTCCTAAATAACGTGTACCCATTTAAGTTAACTGCCCAGTCATGTGTCTCATCCCACCATGTTTCTGTTATGCCTATTATATCATATTGTTTAGTGTATGCTATTGCCTCTAGTTCCCCTATTTTGTTATATAGGCTCCTTGCATTAGTAAGCATACATTTAATATTACCATGAGTCATTAGTACTTTTTGTGAATTATCAATTTTACATACCTCCTCTGTTCTGAGCTTTCCCCTCCCCCCATCTCCACCCCCTTTGTTCTGAGCTAAAGCCCATCTCATTTCTATCCTATCTCTATTTTCTAGATTGCTTTGACCCTCCCTACTACTAGTTTTAAATCTCCTCCAACCTTCTAGCCATCCTATCCCACAGCACAACAGACCCTCTTCCATTTAGGTGCAATGCATCACGACTATACAGGTTGTACCCAAGCGCAAAATCGCCACAGTGCTCTAAAAACCCAAAACCCTCTTTCCTGCACCAAGACTTCAGCCACGCATTGACCTCTCTAATCTTCCGCTGCCTTTCTGCCGTAGCGCGCGGCACAGGTAATATTTCTGAAAATATTACCTTGGAGGTCCTTTTCTTTAGCTTACTTCCTAGATCCCTGTACTCACTCTTTAGGACCTTCAATTTTCCTCTGAATTTGTCATTGGTACCAATATGGACCATGACAGCTGGGTCATCCCCAGCCCCTCCCAATAATGCCTCCACTCTGTCGGCAACATGCCAGACCCGAGCACCCGGGAGACAGCACACTGTCTGGTTGAGTCGACCAGAGTGGCAGATTACCCTATCTACTCTCTTAATAATAGAGTCCCCTACCACCACAACCTGTCTAGACTTCCTTACCCTCTCAACCCCACCCGTACTAGAGGGGCTGTTCCCATGGCTGTTAGAATGAACAGCTTCCTGCAGTACAGCTACATCTGAGCTGATGCTCCCAACATCTTCACTCAAACAGGCAAATCTGTTAGGCTGCACTAGATCAGGACTCTTCCCTCCCACTCTGCTTCCTCGCCCCACTGTTACCCAGCTATGTGCCTGTTCTCCAACTGTCTCATCTCCTCCCACTCCACTACCTGCACCCACTAAACTCTGCTCAGTGAGCAGCAGACTCCTCTCAAGATTATCAATCTCCCTCAGTGTTGCAATTTGCCTCTCCAGATCTCCAATCCGAGCTTCCAGAAAAGCCACTCGCTCACACCCACCACAGAGGTATGGACCCTGGACAGATTTATCCAGACATGCATACATGCAGCAGTATGTACACTGAGTAAAACTTGTAATCTTGCTAGCACTCATCCCCAGTTACCAAAAAACACAAGTGAGCAAAAAAAATATTTACCCTCTTGGTTTAAACTCCCTTGTAGTTTCAACTCCTGTTGTTTTAACTCCTACTTAAAAGAGATTACTTGAAATAGCCTACTTTCAAGCAAACTCCAGTGAGCAAGCTCTGTGAGTCAGTAGTGGGTTTATATTGGTAATACAAATCCCACACAGGTGGAAATTAAGGGGCACTCCCCCTAATTAGCTCAGCAGCAGCACCCAGAGGGAGAGGAATATAAAAGCAAGAGAGGAAGAAAAAAAAAAGGAGGGAAAAACTTTTAAAATAAAACCAGCAGGAGAAAAAAAAAAGGAGGGAAAAACTTTTAAAATAAAACCAGCAGGAGAAAAAAAAAGTCAAAGTTTAAATAAACCCAGCAAGAAATAAAACTATATTTAAGAAAAGGGGAAAAGGTTATAAAAAAATAAAATAAATCAAAACAGCAAGGAGAAAATAAACGTAAAAAGGGTCAAAGTTTAAAAAACAAAACAAAACAAAAAAATATAAAATTAACCCCTTAAGGACACAACTTCTGGAATAAAAGGGAATCATGACGGAATATTTCCATCATGTGTCCTTAAGGTGTTAAACCTGCTTTTTTTCCACTTGGTATTAACCAATACCAACCACAGACCACCAGTTCTCCAACAAACTCCTGTAGGCGGTTGTAGTAATTAGTAAATACCTAACACCTAAAGTTGCGATAACGTAACGTACATGTGTGAATTGTAAGGGCCGGCTCATGGACTCAATTTAATTTGTCTGTAACATACCTAACTAGCGTGGGGGTTGCCCTAAATCCTGAGCACCCTGTAACCTGTAAATAAACATTGTGTAATTAATGACTTGAAACAACACCTATAACCTATGACTAGAGTTAAGCGAACCCGCACTGTAGAGTTCGGGTTCGTACCGATCATTACGTTTTTTGGACCCTGGACCCGAACACATCACTGTATGTTCGGGTTGGAGTTCAGTGTTCGGCGATTTAATGACGCATTTTGAAAGACTGCAGGGCAGCCAATCAACAAGCATTCGTGTGCCCTTAGAAGCCATCACAGCCTACTAATGGCATGGCTGTGATTGGCCAGTGCAGCATGTGACCCAGCCTCTATATAAGCCTGTGGCTGCTCACTGTAAAAAAAAAAAAAAAAATTCCCCCCTCCTGAGCTTTTAAACTAAAGAGGGGACCTATTGTCCCCCACGGCCCCTACTCCTGAGCGGTGGGTGGGGGCCCTAAATATCAATAAGGGGGGACCTATTGTCCTCCCGCCTGGCCCCCACCCTTGAGCAGCGGGCGGGGGCCCTAAATATCAATATGGGGCGGCCTATTGTCCTCCCCCTGTCCCCACCCCTGCGCGGTGGGTGGGGGCAGTAAATAACAATAAGGGGGGACTTACTGTCCTCCCCCGGCCCCCACCCATGCACCGTGGGTGGGGGCCCTAAATAACAATAAGAGCGACCTACTGTCCTCCCCCGCATGCGCACGTGGGGTCCCTTATAACAATAAGGGGGACCTACAGTCCTCCCCCTGGCCCCCACCCACGCCTGAGTGGTGGGTGGGGGCCATAAATAAGAATTTGGGGGGACCTACTGTCTTACCCCTAGTGGGGGCCCTAAATAACAATAAGACGGGGACCTACTGTCCTACCCCCTGGCCCCCACCCCTGCGCGGCGGTTGGGGGCCCCAAATAACAATAAGGGGGGACCTACTGTCCTCCCCCCCGGCCACCAACCCTGAACGGAGGGGGCCATAAATAAGAATTTGGGGGGGGACCTACTGTCCTCTCCCCGGCCCCCACCCCTGAACGGCAGATGGGGGACCTAAATAAAAATTTACCCCCCCAGTGACTAGGGGTCCCCAAAACCCTAGTCACCACCCAAAAAAATTACCCCTACCTACCCCCCTCATCTTTGAAATAATGAGGGGGGACCCTTATCTAAATACCTGTACAAAAAAAAAATAGACTTTCCATTTGATGTCTTCTTTCTCCTAAACTTTTCTTTTTTCAGCCCCCCAAAAGGCCAAATAAAAATCCATAATAACCGACGCACTTTAAAAAAAAAAAAAAAAATAGCGCAAAAAAAAACAAAACTGAGCTCTGAAGGGCGGGGGGAAGGCTTATAAAGCCTTGCCCCGCCCTGCAATTAGGCTCAGAGCACTCTGATTGGTGGGTTTAAGCCATCCAATCAGAGTGCTCTTACAGGTAAATGAAGAGACTGACAGGTAAGTCTCTACATTTGCCTGTCACAGCACTCTGGTTGGCTTGAAATCCACCAATCAGAGTGCTCTGTGTCATTTTACAAAGTGAAAGTTCTTTTGAATTTTCCCACGCTGTGTAATTTGACTCATAACACTCTGATTGGTTACTTAATCCACCAATCACAGTGTTAGGAGTCAAATTACACAGCGTGGGAAAATTCCAAAGAACTTTCACTTTGTAAAATGACACAGACACTCTGATTGGATGGATTTCAAGCTAACAAATCAGAGTGTCTGTGTCATTTTACATAGCGTGGGAAAATTCCAAAGAACTTTCCCACGCTGTGAAAAATGACACAGAGCACTCTGATTGGCTGGATTTCAAGCTAACCGATCAGAGTGCTCTGTGTCATTTTACTGTCAAGGTTGAGTTCCCCAACACGCACACTAAAGGACAAGAGAGGCAACCCCACATAAAGTATTACCGGACCTTAAAATGGCCGGACTTAACGTGAAGAAGTAATACGTCAGACAAGCCAAAGTCAGGGTTAGAGCAGGAAGTGTAATCGGAAAACAAAGCCAAAGGTCAAGGAAGCCAGAGATAAGAATAACCAGAAGACAAGCCGAAGTCAGATACCAAAGAAACACAAGTTAACAGAACGCACTCTCGGGCTACAAGAAACCACAACAGGGCAAGGAAGTGATGTAAGAAGGAGGTATAAATAGGGCTAGGTGAGATCTGATAGGTTAGGAATAGAATAAGGTAGAATATAAATAGAGAGCAATACCTGGGCGCTATCCTTTTAAGCATTTCTGGACAAGCCGCGCACACCCCTGTTGGAAACAGCGCGCGCACGCCCCCGGACTCGCGTGCGCACCTGAGCGCGCAACGCCAACCAGAGGTCCGCACAGCCCGGCGGAGCAGGAAGGACAGCGGGACCGGAGCGGCGAGGCCGCAAGGAGGTATAACAGAACCCCCCTGAAGGAACGCCCACTGGAGAAACACCAGAAGGGCGAGAAGGAAACCTAGCATGGAATGCGTGAAGAAGTCGGGGCGCATGAACCTCAGAAGCAGGAACCCAAGAGCGTTCTTCAGGTCCATAACCCCTCCAAGTATTGAAGCGATCCACATGAGACACGAGAATCGATGATGTGTCGGATCTCGTACTCCTCCTGACCATGGACTAAAACAGGAGGAGGACGAGGACGGGGTCTAGAATGACTGTTGCAAACCAACGGTTTCAGGAGAGAGGTGTGGAAGACGTTGGGTATACGAAGGTTCCTGGGTAAATCCAAAGCATATGACACAGGATTGATCCTTCGTAGAGCCCTGTAGGGGCCCATATATTTAGGAGCTAATTTCATGGAGGGGACACGCAAACGGATATTACGTGTAGACAACCTGTCACCCGTAGTATAAGAAGGTGCTGCTCTACGGTGCCTATCAGCAAAGGATTTCTGAGTAAGAGTAGTCTTCTCCAAGATGGCATGAACCCTTCTCAAAGTTTCCTGTATGGTAGACAAGTGCTCATCCAGAACTGGCATCCCTTTGTATAAGAACGAAGCCGGGAGCAAATTTGGATGACGACCATACGTGACGAAGAAGGGACTGTGGCCAGAGGCAGAATGTTTGGCATTATTTCTGGCAAATTCAGCCCAGGGAAGAAGGTCAGCCCAGTTGTCTTGGAGTTGAGACGTAAAGCAGCGGAGATATTGCTCAAGGCTTTGATTAGTCCGTTCAGCAGCACCATTGGTCTGTGGATGATAAGCAGAGGAGAAGGCGAGCTCAATACCCATGTCTTTGCAAAAGCCCCTCCAAAACTTTGAGATAAATTGTGAGCCCCTATCAGACACGATTATGTCAGGCATACCGTGTAGATGTATTATTTCCTTAGAGAATATGTTGGCTAATTCAGCAGAAGACGGTAACTTTTTTAACCCCTTAAGGACCAAACTTCTGGATTAAAAGGGAATCATGACATGTCACACATGTCATGTGTCCTTAAGGGGTTAATGGAATGAAGTATGCCATCTTAGAGAAACGATCTACTACAACCAAAATAACAGTAAAACCTTTCGATGGTTGTAGTTCTACAATAAAATCCATAGATAATTGTGACCATGGAACAGACGGCAGAGGAAGAGGATGCAGAAGACCACATGGTACTTTATGAGACGGTTTGGACTGAGAACATACATCACAGGATGATACATAGGCTTGTACGTCCTTACTGAGGGACAGCCACCAATACTGCCGGGCGATTAAATTGATAGTCTTGGACACCCCCATATGTCCAGCCATTTTACTGTCATAGTAGTGGCAAAATACATCTCCTCTTAAATTAAGAGGAACAAAATATTTCTCAGCAGGTTTGTCAACCGGCGCCCTATCCTGAGCCTTTTGAATTTTGTGCAGAAGGGGAGAGGAAACTCTGGTTCTAGTTACAGCAATAATTCTCTTGGGGGTATAACGATGTAACGGCTACCCAGGGTAGTGAGGGGTATCTGCCGTTGGCGACGTCCTTCCTACTGGCAAGATGCTGGGCTGTAGGAGAGAGGTGAAGTCCCATCCGCTGGATCCCTGGAGCAGGAGAAAGGCAGAGCCCTGAAAAGAGCTAGTGATTAAGCTGCAAATTCCCTTTCAACAAGGGGTGAAGAAGAATGTCTAAAACTTTATTTTCCTTGGGACTAGCCCATATGGTCATTACATTAACATTGCTGTGAAAACTCAATAAAATTACAAACAGTCAAATCATAGCAGGCAACATACAGTGACTTATTATAACACAATGGCATATTTTCAAAGAGGTGGGGGAGACAATAATTAACAGAAATTATCTCACATGCCTGCAGAATTAGCAATATGCAATATTGCTGTTGCTACCAACAGAGGGCACTAGACAAGCTTCATAGCCAAATCCACCTAGTTGGGAGCAAACCTCAGCAGTACAAGAGAGCAGGCAATGCATCCCAGGGGCCATAGTCACATGGCAGGAGGCTGGCAATCAGTCTTCTCCAATGCCCAGTGGCGAGGCTGGTTCCGCCACAAACGGGTTCAGTTATTTCCTCCTCCTTATCGAGAGTGGCAAATTGTCTGGACTGTGAATCGGCTTTGGTATTATGATTTCCTGGTCGATATGAGGTTAGATAGTTAAAATGGGAAAGAAAAAGAGCCCAGCGTGCCTGTCTGGAAGAAAGTCTTTTGGCGTCACTCAAATATGATAAATTCTTATGATCAGTAAGAATCATGAGAGGTACAGAAGAACCTTCAAGTAAGTGACGTCATTCTTTAAGAGCTAAGATTATAGTCAATAATTCTCCATTACTTACATCGTAATTCTTTTCTGCAGGTGTTAATTTTTGAGAAAAGAACCTGCAAGGATGCCACAGAGAGGTTGGAGACTCCTTCAGGGAAAGCATAGTGTAACGGATCGCCTGGCACCCCGACTGGGTACCTCCGTTGAAGGATGCTCCTAGCGCTTCCTGAGGACTCCAAGCACACTGGCAGACACCACAATCACCGAACCGGAGAAACAAATAAATTCTCCCAAGCATATGAATGCTGTAGACAGTTGAATAGGAACCATACGAATAGGTTTACTCTCCTAGCAGTCAAACTGGAACAGCATACAATAAATCCTTCCCCCAATAATGAGACGACACTTCACTTTGAGGGTTAAAACAGGAACTCCCTGTACTGTCACATACAGTCTCTTTTATTCCCAATCCACAAACATAGTACAGCCCACAGGGCGTTACAAAACAACCAATCAATCCGTACAATACACCCAGACACTCCCACACAAAATCCTCCCCTCTGCAGTGATATGATTACTGAACACAATGGGTAATCTCATTATCACCGGCAGAGGAATACAGTTTTTACACAATATTTATAACTTCTAAAATATACATGTCACAAACATAAAACATACATTTTCATAATCAATCCATTCAGGGGAACAACATATTAAAAAATGGCACGAATCAGACCAGGGGTTCAAAAGTTAAGGGAAAGTCCTTTGTGACTAAATGAAGCATGGCTTTCCGGCCCAAACCAGTTTCAGAGTCTTCTATCCTGGAGATTGAATTGAGAAGTAATTCAATTATCTCCCAGGAAAGACACAAGACTCCATTATGCACATGGTGAGCACAAAGCATTAAAATATTATAAAATACACAAAGTCACATTTTATACATAAAACACAGACATGTCACATATCCCCAGATAGCTGGGATCTGAGCGCACAAAACTACCGAATAGCGCTCAGATCCTATTCACACAGTTCAATTGCCATGGAGCGAAGTCTTTAACTACACGAATGGGCTCCATGGCATAGCTATCTGGGTTAACACATTCACATAAAGTCTGGTCCATAGTCCAAAGGCAAGAGGCGGGCAAGCAGCCCCCACCAAGGACACGTGGCGAGGCCGGTTTCGCCACATTTCTCCCCTTTACCATCCAGACTAACAGGGTATCTGACCTCCTGCTGGTCAGTGCCCGGGTTAGTCCAGCAACCCACCCGCAAAGCATAAACAGCAATACAGCCCACCCACAATAACTGGTTACTACACCTGGATAAAATAGCAACTTGTCCATGTCAAGGTGCCTCACCACGGCTGTGCGGGGTGCTGGTAGACTGCCTTGGTGGGTTGCTGAGTGGGCAGAGACCAGCGGTACTCTGCCCGGGTGCCAGCGCTACCACTGAAGTAGCCTGGTTGGAGCCTGGTTGTGGGAGGGGAGACCGACTGTCTCCCCTCTGGATACACTGCTCTGTGGTTGGGGGACAGGACCGACCGTCCCTACCCCTGGTGCTGCAAGTGCAGAGACTACGGTCCCATTTGCATAGTTGTGGGGCTTAACATCTCCCCTTGGTGGGTTAGGCTGCCGCTGGAGAGAGGGTGTAACAAGCTCCTCTCTCTGAACTGTAGACTGCCGCTGGGGAGAGGGGGTAACCTGTTTCGCCACACATAGCTCCCACACTGGATTCGGAGGCATCTACTTCAAGGATGAAGGGTCTAAAAGGATTTGGGTGTACCAGGATAGGAGCAGATGCAAAAGCTTTCTTTAAGAGAGAAGGAGGCCTTAGCGTCTATTGACCAATAGACGTGATCTGCTCCCTTTTTTGTCATAGCAGTAATTGGAGCTATGATCTGAGAAAAGTTTTTGATGAATCGTCTATAATAATTAGCGAACCCAATGAATCTCTGTATGGACTTAAGTCCAATGGGTAAAGTCCATTCGAGAATGGACGATAGTTTTTAGGGTCCATTTGAAATCCTTTAGCAGATATTATGTAACCCAAAAAGTGAATGGATGTTTGATCAAATAAACATTTCTCAAGTTTACAATACAAGCCATTGGCAAGAAGTGTCTGTAATATGTTTCTGACCTGTCTGTGATGTGTTTGTATATCAGGAGAGTGAATGAGTATATCATCAAGATATTCGATAGCACAAGTGTGTAAATAGTTCCTTAAAACATCATTGATAAGATCTTGGAAGACGGCGGGAGCGTTACACAGACCGAAGGGCATAACGGTGTATTCATAATGGCCACTTCGGGTGTTGAAAGCCGTCATCCACTCATCTCCCTCTTTGATGCGAACAAGATTGTATGCTCCTCTAAGATCTAGTTTGGTAAATATTTTAGAACCACGAAGCTTGTCAAAGAGTTCTGTTATCAAGGGTATGGGGTAAGCATTCTTAAGAGTAATCTTATTTAGGCCTCTATAATCTATACATGGGCGAAGATCCCCCTCTTTTTTAGAAACAAAAAAGAAACCTGCCCCTGCTGGAGAAGAAGAACGTCAAAAAAATCCCTTTTTTTAGGGATTCTTGTACTCCTCCATAACCTTATTCTCAATTTGAGATAGAGGGTATACTCTCCCCTTGGGTGGCATAGTGCCAGGAAGGAGCTTGATGGCACAATCGTAGGATCTTTGAGGAGGAAGACGGTCAGCCTCCACTTTATCAAACACTCTCTTAAGATCCTGGTATTGAGGTGGTACAATAGTGGATAGAGGAGGGGACGTAGGAACATTAAGAGAGCAGAGGGGTCAAACATGATTTATGCAAGTAAGTTCACAGGAGGGGCTCCAAGACAAAAGCTGTCTTTCTCTCTAATCAGGAATAGGGTTATGTTTTTGTAACCAGGGAAAACAAAGAACTAGGGGACAAGAAGGAGAAGAAATGACTTGAAATGACAATTTTTCCTAATGGGTTGCGCCCACCACTACAATAACAGCTTCCGTTTGGTGTGTCACATACAGGACTGTTAAAGGTGTACCATCTATGGCCTCAATGGCCAAGTGTTTTTTTCTCTCTTCCAAAGGAAGACAAATGGATGATGAAAAAGCCTTGTCAATAAAGTTGTCAGCTGAACCAGAGTCAATGAGGGCCATAGTTTGGTGACAAAACTTTCCCCAAGAAAGGGTTACAGGTATAAGACACCTGTGTGGAGCTGTTTTAGGGGACAGAGACATTACACCCAAGGCCAGTCCCCTGAACGAGCTTAGGCGGTGGAGTTTTCCGGGCGAGATGGGCAGTTGTTAAGTACATGCCCTTTATTGCCACAATATAGGCACAACCCTTCCCTCCTTCTGTAAGACTTTTCAGCCTCAGAGAGTCTGGTAGTACCTAATTGCATGGGTTCGGGATCAGGTTCAGGTGCCGGTAAGGCTGGAAATCCGGTTACCATAGGACGAGGAGCAGTTCACCCTAAAGCCCTTCTTTGCCTATCTAAATGAAGATGTTTCTGCCTGACCCTTATATCTATGTCTGACATATATTGAATCAAATCCTCAAGGAGCTCTGGAAGATCTCTAGCTGCCACCTCATCTTGTAAGGATTCAGTGAGTCCTTAAAAAAACACAGCTGTTAGGGAATTATTCCAGGTTACCCCTGAGGCTAAAGTACAGAATTCAATGGCATAGTCGGCCACAGATCTAGAACAGCTAGTCTCTTTCTGCCTAGGGGACTGAACACATTCCTGAAAGTCCTGAGAAATAGTTCTAGATTAAATACAATTATATCATACATTTCCCACCGAGGATTTATCCAAGCTAAAGCTTTACCATCTAATAGGTTCATAATAAACGCTATCTTGGACCTGTCAGTGGGAAATGAATTGGGAGCCATTTCAAAATGTACCCCCAACTGGTTCAAAAAGCCCCTGCATAAAGACGGATCCCCGGAGTAACGGGGAGGAGTGGTGAGACGAACGGATGGTGTAAGATGGGACGTGGATGGTAAGGATACAGCACCTTGAGCACTGTTCTCGTCCACCTCTTGCTGGAGGCAAGCAGTTCTAGTAAGAATGGTTTGCAAAGCTTGGGCACACCGATCCATCCTACGATCTAAACCCTCCATTCTATTTTCGCAACCTGCCATTTGTTGCCCCAAGTTTGCGGGGTCCATGGCCCTGTCGTAATGTCAAGGTTGAGTTCCTCAACACGCAAACTAAAGGACAAGAGAGGCAACCCCAGATAAACATATTACTGGACCTTAAAATGGCCGGACTTAACGTGAAGAAGTAATACAATATAGGAACGTCAGACGAGCCAAAGTCAGGGTTAGAGCAGGAAGTGTAATCGGAAAACAAAGCCAAAGGTCATGGAAGCCAGAGGTGCTGGCTGGGAGGAGGACAGTAGGTCCCCCCCCTTATTGTTATTTAGGTCCCCCAACCGCCGCGCAGGGGTGGGGGCCAGGAGGAGGACAGTAGGTCCCCCCAAATTCTTATTTATGGCACCCACCCACCGCTCAGGGGTGGGGGCAGGGGGGCCAGTAGGTCCCCCCCCTTATTGTTATTTAGGGCCCCCACCCACCGCCCAGGGGTGGGGGCGGACATTAGGTCCCCCCCTTATTGTTATTTAGGGCCCCCATCTGCCGCTCAGGGGTGGGGGCTGAGGGGGAGGACAGTAGGTTCCCCCTCCACCTTCTAATTTAGGGCCCCCACCCATGGCACAGGGGT